GTAGTATCCTCTAAATTACGCGACTAGTGAGACCAAGTTATGCCACTAATATATATATATATATATATATATAATCGACCTGTAGCTGGAGATAGATGCTTCAAATATAAATAAGCTATGAAATGTACTAACTGTTCAACAGGAACTTGCCATATTTTTTTTTAGTGTATATTGAAGTTGGAACAGGAACATATCTTGTAGCTATTGAACAGCTTTTCCGTGTATTTCCGAATAAATAATCGGAAAATAGTCGAGCATATTTCTCCGTTATATATTCCATACTTGGTTCGGAACAGGAGTTGGTGTCATAAATGTATTTGGTGCTAGGATTTTTTTATCTGATTTGATAGTGACAAAATATGAATTTCACTTCTACAATGTAGAAGATATACTGATTTGCATAAAGTTGTATAAAGAAAACTATTACTGGTATAGGCCGTTAATTTTTCAGTTAATATAAGTATTGTCTGGCGAAAACACAATATATATAGCCAATTTTCAGAACATATAAACATTTTCGAAGTCTAGTGAAATCGTAAAGCTATTCCACGACAGTGCTTGTACCAAGTCATGAATATGGCAGTTGTTTTTCACTTATTCCGTTGATTGATTGCGTTTGAATTTGTCAGTTTTTATGGATTTCCCCTTTTTGATTTTGCTTTAGACTTCAGTATTTTTGTTATACTTTTTTTGCAAGCTTTGGTGTTTTAGGTAAATAGATTCAAAAACAGTTCGATTCGGAAACTATTCAAATACCCATTCAAAATGAATGAAACATATGATTTTGCCTCTTTGATGAGATTTTTTTTGTGCGGTTTTTTGGGAAGTATTTTGATGGCAATCTTTTGACTAGTTATCAATTGTCTTTTTTTTTTGGAATTAAGTCTATGGCATATAGAGATATTTGAATAAAAGTTAACTTCTCACTCTTTTAGAATCAGAGTGACCATGATATTTACAGTTCAGTTTAATTCTGACAAGTAAATTGCAGTTGACATTTCAGTGCAAAACCAATGCATACTTGAAATATATAAGAACCCCTACTTTAATCTAGACTGAGTGACGTGTAACCCCTTTTTATTGTATTAGCTAAATCATTTGTTATCTGCAATCCTATACCACAAAATAATGTGTTCAGTTTTAAATAAGTTTGCGTGGTCTCCTGTCAGATTACGTGTGGCAGGATGAATATAATTGGAAAATGCATTCTTTAAGGCTCACCAGCAACCTAGTGGAGTAAAAATGTTACTTCATATGATTTAGAAAGGCAAAGGATACCAAAGGGACATAGAAACTCATAAGTTGAAAATAAACTGACAACGCCATGGCTAAAAAAGAAAAAGACAGACAAACAACAGTAAACAAAACAACATAGAAAACCAAAGACTGAGCAACACGAACCCCACCAAAAACTGGCGGTGATCTAAGGTGCTCCGGAAGGGTAAGCAGATCCTGCTGCACATGTGGCACCCGTCGTGTTGCTCATGTAAGTACAAACCCGGTGATATGTCTTATTCGGTAGGTCACATTCGGGGGAATAGTGACGAGATTGAAGTTACGACAATTGGAACATATCAATCGTCATCTGTGAAATAGATATTCCATAACGATCAACCAACTCATGATGGCGTTCGTAAAAATTACAAAGGGATGAATTCAACTTCACCACTTAGAACTCTTGTTTTAATAGCTTCCTTGCGAGCAGCAATCTTCTATCAAGAAAATCATGATAGGAAACACAAGCACTGGAATATCGTATCAACTGGGATATATATACTCCGTATGCAGGTGCTGCTGGAATGTTGCTACATAGAAATGGAAAGTTCACAATTGGGAAGCTGAAATCATTTCTTTTGTCGACAAGTTTTGTTTTCAACTGACCCTCATTGTCGATTACCTATCAAAACAAGTGTCATTTCTATGGTTAATTCTGCCTGACAGGTTTACATTTTTAGTTTTTGTGAACACTGGCAGTAAATAAACCATACAAGTGAAAGCTTTAGCTAGTTTTAAAACCAGGTTTAATCCACCACTTTCTACATTAGATAATGCCAAGGCAGAAATATGAAAGTTGTTTTCTAGTCGTTTGGTGTGGTTTAGCTTCTGATGTTGCCATTTGATAAGGGACTTTCCATTTTGAATTTTCCTTGGAGTTCGGTATTTTTGTTATTTTACTTTTGAACAATGCAACGTGCCAACTGTTGTTCGTTTAATATCTCTTTCTTATTCAATTGATGAGAACTCAAAATAAAGTACATTTTGAAATGTTATCCGTGCTGGAGTTTCATATGTTGAATTTAAGAAAAAAAGTATACAATCAATGTTGCTAAATAATTTATTTGAAATCATTATCAAGTATCGAGTGCACTCTTTGATGTTCTCTTTACCAACTGTCAATATAGGCTCGACCTTTAGTAACCTGTAAAATGAATAAATAGTCATAGACGTATAACATAATGTATCGAATATTGTCTATCATGACAACCATGTCCATTTCTTCTGAAATATAACAAAATACCAGTTAATGAAAATGTCGTGGCTTTTTTTTTTTTCTTTTTTTTTCTTCCACATTTTGATAGTCTCCTTTGTGTCTTCCCCTCTTATATGAAGATTGAGTGTTGTATTTAATGCAACTGATATTAAAAAATATGCTTTTACATATACACTTTGATTTCATTGTCTTATTACCAATCAGTGTACATTTTGGAAATTCCTTGCAGTTACGTTTACTGAATTGAAATCAACATTATTCAGTTGTTGTCTTGGTTTATATCGGTTTAGTTAGACTGCTTAAATGAATGGTCCAAAATTTCAACATTAATATTACAAATGTCCAACGAGTAAGACTGTGTTTAAAGTATATGATTAAATTCAATTTCATTATGTGTTCTTTCTTAAGTTTTGTTGTTCTTTTTTTCTGTTTTTATTGTTCTGAGATGTTTCCATGTAATCAAGAGTAGTCCTGATACAAGCCAAATATTTAATGTTGGCAAAAATGGAAAGCTTGACATATTATTTCATTTAAATCAACCCTTTTTATAATTTGTGAATTGTTTGAATATCAGAGCTGAAATATCTCTGCTTGTAGTTCATCTTTACGATCACAATTTAACATGCATGTTGTTTAGTTAATTTCGGAAGTGCATACTAACGTTGCAAATGATTTTTGAATAGATTCATCAGTGGATTGTAGATGTCAAAAGATGCAAAAGTTTATTTATTTAAAACCATGGATTACAATGATTTATGATGTTTAAATGATATGCCTTTAAGGGTTTTCTAGGATTTCGTAAAAGCAACTTTACATAACAGTTTTTTAAGTGGTGTACGTTTCATGAATGTGTATTTCAAGGTCAAGTCAAACAGGTTGATTTGGTGATTTTTTCATTGTTGAATGCCGTTTTATCATAATTGCTTATATCGATGTTATTTAGACTTTGGTAGATAGATGTCTAGCTATATCTCGTTATTTTATACTACTACTTACTACTACGAAGACAACATCCACTGTAAGAACCACAATTGTAGTAATCTTTGTTATTATAATAATAGTAGCCTTTGTTGTAAAATAGTAATCGTCAGGACATCCGTATTTTTTTTGCAGTAATATTTTACTGTGCCGTATGGGTTACCTATGGGACAAGAAAAAACGATAAAAGAAAAGTTGAAAAAGATTACTGTTAAAACTTCGCAAATAAAATCAAAATCATTATTTATACCTTCAATACATAAACAAATGAGTTACAAGATATATATTGTGGATGAATAAAACGGTGACCTATATTATCAACTTTTACATCATTCGGTCTCTAATAACGAGTTGTCTCATCGGCAATCATACCACATCTTTTCTTATTTTTATACACACACGTTTTCATTTGCATTTGTATTTTCATTTGTTTAATTATATATGTTAAACAAAACCACGATAGATAGCAGTCTATAATGTTGTACACCAGACGCGCGTTTCGTCTACAAAAGACTCATCATTGAAATTTGAATCAAATGATTGGAAGGCCAAATAAAATTATAGAGGTGTTAGGAATGGGATTTCAAAGAAAGAACAAAAAACATATACAAATCTTTAAAAGGCCCCGACTTGCAATGCACAAGTTTCAAATAAACGAACATTTTGAATAAAAAGATTGATTCAAATGTGATTTGATGCAATGATTTATTGTTCATTTATTTTTTATCAGTTTGCAGATTTTCCTTGTAGTCGTTCAACAAAATAGTAAGAAAAGGGGGAACAACGATCTGAAACTTAATCCATCACTACTATGAAAAAAGTAATTTTAAGAAAATGATATTGATATATATATATATATGAATAATGATCGTGTTGTTTTTCTGGATCTTCGCTTGTGTATTGCGGAATAAATTGTTACTATTTCATTTTGTCAAAAAATATTCTCAGCTGTATCAAACACTCCCAAAAATGTAGCTTTAATGAATGATTATTTTTGCCTTTTGAGATGGTCGCCACTATAGGCTGCAGTAGTATTGGTAGTTACCATCGTATTGACTGTTCTAACACCTCTAATAAGTTGAATAGCAGTGACGATCCAAAATTCCGAAAGGTTTTGACAAATACAGCAAAGTAAATACAACTCAGAAATCTTTTTTTTAAAAAACACATAAGGTGAATACATAAAGCATTGAACACATGTATGATCATAAGACATCAACTGCAACATATTAAATATATCTTGGCATAGTTGACAAGTCAAATATTTAAATTCAATCTCTTGAGGTTATGTATTGACTAAAGCAAATACATTTTCTATGTTCACGATTTAGAGTTTTTCGCTTCGAAATGATTCAAATGAAGTTTATCATTGATGTAGTCGAACAAGCTTTTATTGATGGTGTGTCTTGCATCTATTCTTTAAGTTTTCTATTTCAGTTTGAATGAGGTCTTGGATACAAGCACTGCGATAGTATCTATTATTGTCATTGCTGTTGGCAAACATGTGATATCTGAAGATGTTTATACTCACGCGGAAGACAGCATCCAGCATAAGAGTTGCAATCATACTTGTAAGACCTAGTGCCATAATTACAATATCCTGTGTTGCCATAAAAAAAATATCCTGATCGACAACCCTTATTAGAGCAATATCCTCTGTAATCATAATCACCGCGGCCAGATTTAACTACAAGCAGACATTTAAGACATTTGTAAATAAAAAAGTAAATGAAAATGAAATTGCATTTTTATACAAAACAATACACTTCTTTTTCACAGACACCAGGTGTTTAATAAGTACACTTGTAAAATGTGGAAATGTTCGTACCACGGAGACAACATTTGCGTCTCCTGAACAGCCGCAAAGAAATATGTGTAAAGATAGAGGGATAGACGATTTTAATTTCGTATGCCTTCCAAACCATTTTATTGCATGGTCATTTTTTGGACTGTTTTCTGGCAATAATGAGACCTTACTTTATATCTCTAGATAATATAGAAAAATAATATGTAGATTATAGACTTACGAACTCTTAGACACTGTATTAAGAATGTGTTGTCACCAATACTATTAAGCTGGAATCCGATTGTATTTACGCTACGTTATGAACAAAGTGTAGTAGTCAGCCGAGAACCAGCTTACAATACAATAATCATTAATCTTTTCCCATGTCTGCAATAACGTTAACGGTACCAATTGTTCTGCACTAGATACGGATTTCAGCAATAATTATCTTCTGCAGTCATCATAGAGGCCAACATATTTGAAAATCCCAGACTTAATGAAATGCAAATTATGAAACTTAGTCGAATTAGGAAATAGAATTATGAAATTTAAACAGTGAAGGATTTTTTTTCCTTTACATTTTTTTTTCAGATTATTTGATTTAAATGAAATAAAATGTCAAGCTTTCCATTTTTGCCAACATTAAATATTTGGCTTGTATCAGGACTACTTTTAATATTTCTCGATCTTGATTACATGGAAACATCTCAGAACAATAAAAACAGAAAAAAAGAACAACAAAACTTAAGAAAGAACACATAATGAAATTGAATTTAATCATATACTTTAAACACAGTCTTACTCGTTGGACATTTGTAATATTAATGTTGAAATTTTGGACCATTCATTTAAGCAGTCTAACTAAACCGATATAAACCAAGACAACAACTGAATAATGTTGATTTCAATTCAGTAAACGTAACTGCAAGGAATTTCCAAAATGTACACTGATTGGTAATAAGACAATGAAATCAAAGTGTATATGTAAAAGCATATTTTTTAATATCAGTTGCATTAAATACAACACTCAATCTTCATATAAGAGGGGAAGACACAAAAGAGACTATCAAAATGTGGAAGAAAAAAAAAGAAAAAAAAAAAAGCCACGACATTTTCATTAACTGGTATTTTGTTATATTTCAGAAGAAATGGACATGGTTGTCATGATAGACAATATTCGATACATTATGTTATACGTCTATGACTATTTATTCATTTTACAGGTTACTAAAGGTCGAGCCTATATTGACAGTTGGTAAAGAGAACATCAAAGAGTGCACTCGATACTTGATAATGATTTCAAATAAATTATTTAGCAACATTGATTGTATACTTTTTTTCTTAAATTCAACATTTGAAACTCCAGCACGGATAACATTTCAAAATGTACTTTATTTTGAGTTCTCATCAATTAAATAAGAAAGAGATATTAAACGAACAACAGTTGGCACGTTGCATTGTTCAAAAGTAAAATAACAAAAATACCGAACTCCAAGGAAAATTCAAAATGGAAAGTCCCTTATCAAATGGCAAAATCAGAAGCTAAACCACACCAAACGACTAGAAAACAACTTTCATATTTCTGCCTTGGCATTATCTAATGTAGAAAGTGGTGGATTAAACCTGGTTTTATAACTAGCTAAAGCTTTCACTTGTATGGTTTATTTACTGCCAGTGTTCACAAAAACTAAAAATGTAAACCTGTCAGGCAGAATTAACCATAGAAATGACACTTGTTTTGATAGGTAATCGACAATGAGGGTCAGTTGAAAACAAAACTTGTCGACAAAAGAAATGATTTCAGCTTCCCAATTGTGAACTTTCCATTTCTATGTAGCAACATTCCAGCAGCACCTGCATACGGAGTATATATATCCCAGTTGATACGATATTCCAGTGCTTGTGTTTCCTATCATGATTTTCTTGATAGAAGATTGCTGCTCGCAAGGAAGCTATTAAAACAAGAGTTCTAAGTGGTGAAGTTGTATTCATCCCTTTGTAATTTTTACGAACGCCATCATGAGTTGGTTGATCGTTATGGAATATCTATTTCACAGATGACGATTGATATGTTCCAATTGTCGTAACTTCAATCTCGTCACTATTCCCCCGAATGTGACCTACCGAATAAGACATATCACCGGGTTTGTACTTACATGAGCAACACGACGGGTGCCACATGTGCAGCAGGATCTGCTCACCCTTCCGGAGCACCTTAGATCACCGCCAGTTTTTGGTGGGGTTCGTGTTGCTCAGTCTTTGGTTTTCTATGTTGTTTTGTTTACTGTTGTTTGTCTGTCTTTTTCTTTTTTAGCCATGGCGTTGTCAGTTTATTTTCAACTTATGAGTTTCTATGTCCCTTTGGTATCCTTTGCCTTTCTAAATCATATGAAGTAACATTTTTACTCCACTAGGTTGCTGGTGAGCCTTAAAGAATGCATTTTCCAATTATATTCATCCTGCCACACGTAATCTGACAGGAGACCACGCAAACTTATTTAAAACTGAACACATTATTTTGTGGTATAGGATTGCAGATAACAAATGATTTAGCTAATGCAATAAAAAGGGGTTACACGTCACTCAGTCTAGATTAAAGTAGGGGTTCTTATATATTTCAAGTATGCATTGGTTTTGCACTGAAATGTCAACTGCAATTTACTTGTCAGAATTAAACTGAACTGTAAATATCATGGTCACTCTGATTCTAAAAGAGTGAGAAGTTAACTTTTATTCAAATATCTCTATATGCCATAGACTTAATTCCAAAAAAAAAAGACAATTGATAACTAGTCAAAAGATTGCCATCAAAATACTTCCCAAAAAACCGCACAAAAAAAATCTCATCAAAGAGGCAAAAACATATGTTTCATTCATTTTGAATGGGTATTTGAATAGTTTCCGAATCGAACTGTTTTTGAATCTATTTACCTAAAACACCAAAGCTTGCAAAAAAAGTATAACAAAAATACTGAAGTCTAAAGCAAAATCAAAAAGGGGAAATCCATAAAAACTGACAAATTCAAACGCAATCAATCAACGGAATAAGTGAAAAACAACTGCCATATTCATGACTTGGTACAAGCACTGTCGTGGAATAGCTTTACGATTTCACTAGACTTCGAAAATGTTTATATGTTCTGAAAATTGGCTATATATATAATGTTGCATTATTCGAAACACTGAAGATTTTCTATCCCCAGGTTAACATTGCTTTAGCCTTAATTGGACCAACTTTTTTTTTGAATTTTCGGTTTTTAAGGCTCTTCATATTCGTTTTTGATTTGGCCCCCAACTTTTTGATTCGATCGTCTCTGATGGGTCTTATGTAGATAAAAACGCGCGTCTGGCTTATTCAATGAGGTATATTGGATGAGTGTTTTTCATGCAATTTGAATTGATCTTAAAAAAAAATAACCAAACCCCAGCATACAACTTTGCTTCTTCTTGAAACTTTCAAACCCGCACTGAAACATGTTATGAATTTTCCGTAGAAATACTCGAATTTGTCAGCTTTATTTCATACAAACATCTGTAATGTATCATATTCAAATATTTACATTAATTGTCTATGCTAATTGTATTAGAAATGAAAGGCACGTGTTCCTATTACCAACTAGTGGAAATACTAGGCAAAATTGTGCATTAAAAATTTACAATGCATCAACACATCAAAGACATTGTAACTTGAAGTTTGACTGGCAGATTATAAATATACAAATCAACTTCAATTCCTATAAACTCTTGATCCTAGTGGCAATGTGCGGCTCGGTTCATGTCTATTAGGGTTTCCACCTCATTGACATATAACATGTAATTCCCATTACTTCCTTTTTTCAAACCGTATGCAAATTGGTTAGCTGCATAAGGTCAAATAATGGGATTGACCATACAAGGGTGAAGTCTGAAACCAACACGCCTCTTTCGTTGCATGACCACTATAAATTGGAAACACGTGACATTTTCATTTATTCCTTAAAACACAAAAGTTTCTACTATCTGCAAGTTTCGTTCTTATAAGTTATAACCGATAATAAAAAGATCCAGGTATATATATTAGTTATCAATGTAATCATCGTATCATGTTTTGTTCTTGCTTTCTAACAATTTCATATTCCAAATTAGGCTCATCAGTGTATTCAAATATTATGATACTATATAGATATGGCATATTACAAACAATATTAACAATATGTTTAAATAACAATATGTGACGTCAGAAGTATCATGTTTACGAAATATCTTTGCAATAAACTTTTTCTTGATTTAAAATAGTATTGTTTATATTTTCCTAGGTTACAAAGCTGATTTGTGTTTTCGCCAGACAATACTTATATTAACTGAAAAATTAACGGCCTATACCAGTAATAGTTTTCTTTATACAACTTTATGCAAATCAGTATATCTTCTACATTGTAGAAGTGAAATTCATCTTTTGTCACTATCAAATCAGATAAAAAAATCCTAGCACCAAATACATTAATGACACCAACTCCTGTTCCGAACCAAGTATGGAATATATAACGGAGAAATATGCTCGACTATTTTCCGATTATTTATTCGGAAATACACGGAAAAGCTGTTCAATAGCTACAAGATATGTTCCTGTTCCAACTTCAATATACACTAAAAAAAATATGGCAAGTTCCTGTTGAACAGTAAGTACATTTCATAGCTTATTTATATTTGAAGCATCTATCTGCAGCTACAGGTCGATTATATATATATATATATATATATATATATATATTAGTGGCATAACTTGGTCTCACTAGTCGCGTAATTTAGAGGATACTACTTAGAACTTTGCTATATCTAAAATTTTTAATAGTTAATATAAACGAATCCCACAACGACACAAGACAGTCCCGATAACATTATCATTACTACGACAGCTC